CTAGGAATTTACTTAACATGATTGTGAAAACAGCCTTAACTACTTGTGAATATTAGTTTGTGACGATTATGTGAAACACCCTAATATTCTAGCACCAAATGCAAGCATGCAAATTAAGTAGGTCTCCCTAATAAACATACAAGAATAAGTTATCCATCAAACGGTTAAGTAAATTGCGTTCACAATTTATGAAATCACAACTGGACTTAATCAACTCATATTATAAATGTAATCATGGTTTCAAAGCATCCCTAGGCTAAAACGAGTTTAGCCTCTCATGTTCATGACAAAACAAAGCAACATAGATTTAAACATTGAAAATAAAAGATAGATTACACCTAGAAACGTCCAACACTCCAACTCGAATGCACAAACGCCCAAGGCTTGGTCTTCCTTCTCCTCTTCCTTGCTAAGTCACGGCACAAGGTCTATGGTGGGTTTGTGGATGATTTTCTGGGTTTTGGTTGGATTTAGGTATGTATGGTGGTGCGGTAAGGGTTGATGGTGGTGTATGGAGGTTGGGATGGAGGTGTGGAAGTAGGGGAATGATGGATGGGTGGTTGTAAGGTCACGGCAAAGGGTGGATTTCTGAATGAATGTTTGAATGTTGTGTGAAGGAAAAGGATTGCACAATCCCAATGCAAAAGGGTTAATTCAAGGTAGAAACCAAAGTGGATTGGGATAGGTAGTGCACGGCATGGATTTAGGCCCTTCTAGAAGGATAGGTGCGGCAAGGGTTGTAGGGATAAGATAAGGCTTCTAGAAAGAAGGGTTTAGAACAGATTCCTAATTCTAAAGGGACATGAACATGTGATATAAGAGTAGGAGAAGGTTTTCAATTCCTAAACCTACTAGGAGTGGTGTACATGCGGCATACAAAGGAATGAGGGTCTAGAATCTGTTCTAAGTGTTTAGATATATATCTAATCCCACCTAAATAGCTAAGTTTAAGTCCTCACCTGATTTGGATAGGATAGAATAGGATAATGTTAGAGATAGGATAGGATAAGGTTTCTAGGATAGGATAAGATAAGGTTGGATAAGGTTCCTTGTTTCTTGCTTCTTCCTTATCTTCATTGTATTAGGACTTCTTCCACCAGATTTGTAGCCTTTCCTAGCTCTTCTTGTCTTCAATTTCGTCCATCCTCTTTGCTCCATGGTTAAGCTATCCAATCCATGCCCAAAAATGCTCCAAATAGCCTCAAAATGCACTTTCTTGCTCCCTTTGCCATTAGAACCTAAAAACATACGAAAATGGCTTAAAATACTAAAACAACTATGAATTAACAACATAAATGCATGAAAACAAGCTAAGTAAGTCGCCTAAATACGCTCCTATCAAATTTTGACCGAAATTCTGGGTTTAAGTTGCACAAATTTTAGGTTTTAGACTCAACCATTAGAGAAAGATTGTGTTACTTTAAAACCTAAATTTTAGGTTCTAGTCCAATGGTTGGAAATGGTCTTAGAGGAAAGGGAACGTTAGCATCAACCGATATGGCTCACACGCCCACTGATGTTATGAAATAAGATCTATAACACGCCCACTTATGTTATGAAATAGGATCCGCTTTTTTTACCACGCACTTATTAAAATATTGAATTTTGTTCTTATTAATAAGCAAATTTTATTAAGTGTTTTTCGTGAAAAATTAGTTTTATTAGGCTCTTTTCATTAGTTTTTTTTTTAATAAAAAATATGTCATCTCCATGATTTCCTCTACTTAATAAAATCCTTTATAGGCCTCAAATTTTATTTTTTGTATGTAATATATTCAAGAGAGTTATAATTATATTTGCATACATTGTATCACCAATTCAAATTTAATACATACATATTAACTGTATATAGTAGAGTTATGCATGTTAGGGAATTTCGGATCAAATTTGGAATATTAAATATTCCAATTTGCATGCAATTTTCTTCGAAATTTCGGTTTTGGATTTAAACCTGACAAAATATTTTGGAATATTTCAGCTCAGAATCTACTGGAATTGACCATTAACTTGGAAAATTGTAATCCTATTGTAGGGCTAATTTACTGAACAATATAAAAAACACAGATAAAGAGGGTGCGGCATACAAAGATAGATGTGTATTTGTGAGGTGTGTGTTATGTCACCTCCTTGTGCCTTTACTTATAGTAGGATAATATCTAGTCAAAGAGATATGGTGGAATCCCATAAGGATATCCTACATATGTTAGGATTTACACAATCACAATCCTAATCTAACAGGACTGCAACATTCCCCCTTGATTGTTGATAGGAGCATATTTAGGCGACTTAGCTAGCTTATTCTTGTGCATTTGTGCTATTATTTCTTAGTTAATGTCGTATTACAACTCAATTTCGTGTGTTTGTAGGTCCTCAGGGTTAAAGTACCAAGAAAGTGCATTTTGGAGCAATTTTGGGCACTATGTGGATAGCTTGTATATGGGCTAACATGGATGGACAAATTTGGAGTTCAAGAGGCTAGAAATATGATAAGAAGATGAAGAAATTAAACTCAAGACAAAATGGATAAGGAATCAGCTCAAAAGAGGAAACATTATCCAAAACCTTATCTAAACTTATCCAACCTTATCCTATCTTATCCTAACCTAATCTTGTTCCACCTTAATACTAGCTGCAAGTGGACCTAAAAACATGATTTCTAGAAGCCTTATCTAACCCTAAAAGGGTGCTGCACCCTTCCCCCTTTTATCTCTTCTAGAAAACCCAAAATCAGCCACAAAACACCTAGTTTCTAGAAGGCCCAATTTTGAACGAATTTCCTAAACCTTTTTCCTTTTGGATTCTGATTTATTAGGCCTTATTCATTGTGGATTTGGGTTATATAAATCCTTTTATGAAACTAATTGGGCCAAACCCTCTCCTAAGTGGATTTAACTTGCTTGTGCCGAACCCTAGGGCCCTAATCCATAAAATCTTCTAATTGTAACCCTAATCTAATTAACCCTAGGACTATATATACATATTTTCAGCCACAAATTCGTAACCACCCCTTATGCTATACAGAAAACACCTTGCCGCAACACCCTAGCCTCCATTCTCATCCCCCACCACTCCATACACCTCCATACACAACCTGATGCCCCCTACCACCATAATCAACCATCCTTCATCCCTCTAAACAAGAAAACACCATCCAAAACCCCCAATTCCACCACACACACTTTGTGCCGCAGCAAGGAGGAGGAAGAGAGCCAAGCCGTGCATCAAATCCATCTTGGAATTGCTGAACGTTTAGGTGTAATCTTTCTTATGATTTCAATACTCTTTGTCATGCAAGCATGAGGAACTAATCCCCTTTTGGCTAGGGGGAATTTCGAAACCATGGTTATATTTGCATGATGATTTGATTACTTTCAGTTGTAGTTTCATGAATGGTGAATTCAATTTACTTATCTGTTTTGATTAAAACTTGTTTATGTATATGAATTGAGAGTGCACACTTAATTTGCATGCATAAATATGATGCTAGGGTATAAGGAACCTTCACCTAATCGTTGGGAACTCATATCCATGAGTATTTAAGATTGTTGGCATAAGTATCATGCGCTTTCATAGTTACGAATGCCTCGTCAACACCTATGATTTCCATAGAACCTAATGATCTTTGATTGTCTTTCTATTATGCACTTTCATATAGAGAACTCTTAAGGAATAATTTGATTGCAATGCGCTAAATCCATTCAATTCAATGACCTAAGGGAAATCTGAGAGTTAATTTAAGCGTACCTAATTAACTTGGGGTGTTGAGGTTCATAATTCATTGAATAAGCAACTGAAGATTGTGTTGTATGCAAGTATACCATGTGTGGAGAAAAACCTCCTAGCCATCTCACCATCCACTTAATTCTATCAATTTCGCCCAAATCTGTCTAGTTTAAAGTTTTGTTTTGTTTTGTTTATTTTCGTCCAAAACCAAATCCCCATTTATTCTAGAGTGTCTAATTGGTCTAAATATGTTTTAGATTGTGTTTTTGAGAGTTTTGAGTCAAGTTAGAACCAATTTTCGTCCAAGTTTGTGTTTAGGCTCAAAACTGCCCAGATTGTGTTTTAAAGGCAGTTTTGAGTGTTTTTAGCCTATTTTGAGTCTTGTGAACATGTTTGAGTCTTTTTACGTGAGTTTAAGTGTTTTAAAGGTTAATTTTATTTATTTGAGTCAGTTTAGAGTGGTTAGCAATCCCTTCTAATCCCCAGTGTAAGAACGATCCCTACTTATTTATATGCTACAATTGTCAAAAGAGGGTTAATTTGTGTGTTAAGTTAATTTTCGCATCAAGTGTGTAAATACTTAAACAGAACATCGCTTCAAGTCTTCAGCAAATGAAGTAGATCACTTGGTGAAGTCGTTGGCACAATGAGCGAATGTGAGTCTCAAATTAAAGAAAGTATGCATTGGTAATAAAACTCACAAAACCTCACCATGGTAAAACCTAAGATAGGTACAAAACTCATAGGCTAAGGAGAAAAGTGAGAAGTATGCATAATGTCTAAAAAAAACGTCATACGGGATGAAAGTAGTAAACCTCAAAAGAGTATGATCATCCCAGGATGGGCGCCTCATCAAAACCTCATTATGTATCAGAAACCCAATGGGGAAAATGCTCTTAATCATAAGGAAAAGAATACATTAAGATCAAGTGAGTATACTTTAGGATACTCCCCCTGAGTTAGACATAACTTCCAAATAAGAGAACTACAAGTTATTCAACTCAGAAAGTTTATGCACATCGATTCCTTTGACTTTTTTTGAAAAGTAGACTTGGGCAATAACTTGGTGAAGAGATCGGCCAGATTGTTCTGGGAATGGATTTACTTGACCTTGATGTCTTAATGTTGTGTAACTGGTGATAACAAAAGAACTTCGGTGCACTATGCTTGGTGTTGTCTCCCATAATGTCTCCCTTCCTTAGTTGTTCGATACATGCGGCATTGTCCTCAAAGATCGTTGTACGAACGTCAACGATATTAGTAATACCACTAATTCTTCAAATATGTTCAATGACTGCTCTCAACCAAAAGCATTCACGCAAAGCTTCATGCAATGCAAGAATCTCAGCGTGGTTCGAAGAAGTCACAACTAGTAATCGCTTAGTAGACCTCCAAGATATTGCAGTGTCTCTAATGGTAAAGACATACCCATTCCAAAATGTCCCTATGTGGTTCAAACAGATAACCTGCATCAGCATAACCAACAAGGAGAGAATTAACCCAAGGACTGAGAAGGGCGACGACTCTTCTTGAGGATTTATGGGTGTGAACATGCCCAAATTCATCGTACCTTTGAGGTAGCAGATAATTTAAGACCATTCCAGTGTTTACGAGTAGTCGCATTGCTGCATCTTGCTGAAAGATTTACAGCAAAGGATTTGTCGAGTCTAGTGCATTGAGCCAAGTACAATAGAGCATTAATTGTACTTAGGTATGGAACATCAGGCTCCAACACCTCTTCATCATCCTTCATGGGACGAAAGGGATCTCGTTCAGCATCTAAAGTTCGAACAAACATATAAGTACTCGAATGCTTTGCTTTATCCTCATTAAAATGTCAACACTTTTTGGGAGTAGTTTGATTGATGTATTAAGATTCCATCCGAACAATGCTTGATCTCCAAGCTAATGCAATATTAAGTTTTCTTAAGATCTTTCATCTCAAATTGTGATTTCAAGTGAACGGTAATTTTCTCAAGCTTTTCGAAAGTCGTAATAATGTTCATGTCATCAACATAAACTGCACTGATTGCAAAATCAAAATGTGACTTCTTGATGAACACACAAGGGCATAGTTCATTGTTCACATAACCTTAACTTTTCAAATATTCATTCAGACGGTTATACCACATCCGTCTAAATTGTTTTAATCCATATAATGATCTCCTCAATTGAATTGAGAGGGTGTTCCATGTTCTATAACTATTTGAACCAGTTAATAGAAGTCATTCGAGAACTTTCATGTAGATTCCTATATCTAGATCCCCATAGTGATACGTGGTTACCACGTCTACAAGTAGCATATTCGGTAGTAGAACATTATGACGTCCATTATGAGGGAGTATGTCTCTTCGTAATCAATCCCAAGGCGTTGAGAGAAACCTTTCACTACGAGGCGTGCTTTGTGTTGCACTATTTCTTTTTTCTCATTACGCTTCCTCCCAAATGCCCACGTGTACCCTACGGGCTTTATATGTGGTGGAGTAGAGCTACAGGCCCAAACACCTTACATTTTTCAAGCGAATCGAGTTTGACCTAGATTGCTTATTTCTAGTTTGATCAATCGGTTCTACGTTGACATTCATCAATGGAAAGTGGTTCAATGTCATTCCTAAGCATGATGTCAGTAACTACTGTGTATGTAAAGGTGTCGTCGACGATCATCTTATCCTAATTCCAAACCTCATCCAAAACTACGTAATGGACCAAAGTCTCACGATTATTGGGAGGTCGGTTTGTCTCATCTAAGACATCACCGTAATCTAGAATAACCTCATGTATTGGAACAAATGAGTAAGCAATGGTTAGATTCATACTAGGTTCACCAATTTGTGCCATTTTCCTTTTCTAGGGTTATGAATCATTTGAATCAAAGGGTTTGCCACGTTTCAGGGTATAAGTAGATAATTGGCTAGCTATCAATACACTGATGTGAGAATTATACGCACACAAATTAAACCCTCTTTTTATCAATTGTAGTGAAGAATGTAAGTAGGGATCGTTCTTAACCGGGGATTAGGAGGGATTGCAAAATCACTTGGAAACTGACTCAAAAACGTAAAATAAAATTTAAAACACTGAATTAGACTCAAAGAATGCAAAACTAAACACTTAAACACTAAAACAACCAAAAGACTCAAACAGCACCCAAAACACTCAAAACAGCCTTAAAAACACTTTCTGGGCAGTTTTGAGCACTTTGACTACTTTGGACGAAATTGGGTAATAAAATGAATCAAAACACTTAAAAACACAAACTAAGACACTTTCTAACTAAGTTGGACACTAAAGCAAAGGGGGATTGAGTTTTTGACGAAATTAAATAAAATGCACAGAATGTAATTCAAACAGATTGTAAAGATGAATTTGATGGAAATATGGATGAAATGCTAGCTAGAGGGTTCTTCTCCACACATGTCACACTTGCACACAAAACGATTTCTAATTGCTTTTCAATAAACCATGAATTCTCAACGCCCCAGATTAACCGTGAATTGCACTAATTAACCCTCAGATTTTCCTAACGTTATTGAATTGGATGATTGCATACGACAACCCAAAACATTCCCCACAAGTCCCCTACATGATTGCATAATAGAGATACAAGCAAGAATCATTAAGTTCTATGAAAACCATAAGCGTTGACGAAGCACTTGTTACTATGATTGCATGAAACTTATGCCAAGAATTTACTTAACGCGATTGAGATCATCAACCTTTACTACTTGTGAATATAATTCCATAACGATTAGGTGAAATTTCCTTATATCCTAGCATCCAATTTATGCATGATAATTAAGCGTGCACTCTCAACCAACACACACAAATCAATGTAATTCACATAGATAAGTAAATTGAATTCACAACTTATGAAACGCAATTGGAAGTAATCAAATCATATTGCAAGCATAAACATGTATTTCGAATCCCCCCCTAGCCAAGGGGGGGTTTAGTTCCTCATACGCACAAAACAAAGAGAATTGAAATTAAACATTGAAATCAAGGAAAAGAAACACCTAAAAATTCCAACAACTCAAACTTGAATTGTATGAACGTTTAGGCCCTTCTCCTCCTCTTTGTTGCGGCACAAGGTCTAAGGATAGGTTTTGGGGGTTATGGATGGTGTAGAATGATGTGTTTAGGATAGGGATGGATGTAGGGGACTTCAAGGCTTATTTTTGGGCAGAAAATATGAAGAATAGTGAAGTATGGATGTGTTATAGAGAGGGGATGAATTTCTGGCGTGAATGGTGAATGAATGGTTGTTTTATGGCTGCAATGGATGTTTATTTATAGGTGGATGAATGATTAAAGAGGGAATATGACAGCTAGGTTGGTTGGTGGCTGCCATCATGAAGAGTGCATGGATGTGGCTGAATGGGTTAAAGAGGGAATGATGATGGGGGAGCATGTGGGTGACAGCTAGGTTGGTTGGTGGTTGCAATGGAGGTGTGGAATGATGATAGGAGAGCATGTGAGTGAATTATGAAGAGTGAATGCATGTAGGGTGCTGCTATGGTGGGAAATATTAGGCAGAAAATATCCTAAGGCTTTATTACTTAGTTTAGGTAAGGATGTAACTCCAAATCCTCCTTTAGGTCTTCAATTTCATCCATTCCTTTTGCTCCAAGCATATGCTATCCATTCCAAGCCCAATTTTGCTCCAAAATGCTCCAAAATGCATCATTTTGCATACTTTGCCCTTAAATCCTGAAAATACATAAAACTAGCTTAAAAGACTACTTTACTAAGGAAAAACACTTTAAATGCACAAGACAAGCTAAACTAAGGTGCATAAATATGCTCCTATCATATACTGGGCCACGTGAGATGTGCGACCAACCCTCCCTTAGGGATGGCTCGTCCTTCTGGGGCGATGTTACAACATACATTAGGTATATCTATCTTTGCAAGTGCGTTTGCAGTTGGTATATGTGATCTCTTCACCTTAGCTAGATCAATAAAAGTATTTGGCATGCTTTGAGTGCTCTGAAGATCCAGAATATGATACACCTCAGTTTCAGACTGAAAAGTGTGGGGATCTAAATAAGATAAAGTGGGAGTAACCATGACAATTCGTAATGTTTTATAAGAACATTAGTGTTCTTATCTTCCCCAACGACGGACTATCTCATCCAAGAAATCCTGTCAATCACTCTAAGTAGTGAATAATTGGTGGCAAATCATAATCGACATACCTAAACACACATAAATGTGAGACATTAGGCTTGTATCCAGTAACCAATTATAACGGTGAATAAGGTTGGGTAGCGGTGGGCCTCATGCGAGCCAACATAGCTGCATGCAATATTACATGGTCTAAGGTAGATACCGGTAATCCGGTTCGCATAACCAAAGTCTGAGCTGTCGTTTGAAGGCGTTTTATGAAAGCTTCTATCAGACTGTTTTGGGTGTGAACATGGTGTACAAGATGTTCAACTTCAATCTGAACTGACATGCAATAATTATGACGTAAACTCTCTAGCATTTCTAGTCGAATCGACTTGATCGGATAATCAGGGTGATGAGCCCTAAGCTTAATGATTTGAGCTAGGAGTTTTGCATAAACATCATTGTGTGTGGACAATAAGCAGACAGGTGACCAATGCATTGATGCATCAACCAACACCATGAAGTATTTAAATGGTCCGCATGTTGATTAGATAAGTCCACAAATATCCCCTTAAATCCTTTCTAGAAACTTAGGGGGTTATGAATCTTTGCATATAAGGGTTGAGTATTCAACTTCCTCAAGGAGCATGCTTTGCAAGACGGATGGCCATGATAAGATGTTAGGTGATACCCGTGTGATACTTTGAGGATACGATGTAACATATCTCATCCAGGATGTCCCATACGGTCATGTCAAAGCAACAAAAAGCTCTAGAACGCAGGCACAGAGTTGGCCACATGGTGGGTCTCAAAGGCTCAAATGGTTATGATGTACAATCCACTTAGGAGACATTCCAGTTTTTCGTGAATACAGTTTTGGCCATATTTGTAAGAAGTGATACAAAGAAATTCAAAACCATTCACTTCGGTGGTTTCAAAATGATGTTGATTGTCTCGAATATCTTTAAAACTTAGCAACATTCTTTCGGAACAGGGAGAATAGAGGGCTCTTTAATGGTTAATTTGGTATCATTATACAACATTAAACAGGCCTTTTCGTATCCTTCAATCAGGTTGAATGAGCCTGAAAGGGTTGTCAGAGATGCATTTTTAGGTACGAAGTTAGTAACATAATGTCGCTCACGCAAGAAGGTGTGCGTACATAGTAGCATTATCGGTCAGACACCTAACTTCCCCACTAGTCATACCTAGAAATATATTAACTGAATCGGTCACAAGTATAAATATGATTCCATTCATTCAATTAATCAATCGAGAAACAATATCTATAAAATAATTATTCATAATTCAAAATAAACCAATCCAAACAAAATATCCCTAAGACTTAGAAAAATTGTTTGTAAAACTAAACCGTAAGCCTAGAAAACAGAGAGGGTTCAGCCACTAGGGGTGAAAACCACCCTAACATGTCTTAGAAAAATAAACTTTATTCTTTTATAAGAGCGGATGCCTTCTGAAAATCTAAAACCTCCATAGTTGTGGTAGTATCGCTAGGATGTTCCACATGCACAAAGTTAGACTTATGATGAGAATGATACTTGGCAACAGCCTAGGGAGTAGCTTGGCATATGCGTGACCAATGGTCCCTTAATCCACAGTAATAACATATGTCCTATTTAGTGGAATCTGATTGAACAATAACTTTTCCTTTGTTCTTGAAGTTTGGGGCCTTAGGGGAATGGGAATTACACCTCTGGATCAAATTTTCTCTCTTGGCAGGGCTTCTGCTCTATTGACCTTTGGCCCGTGGCTGGGGTTTCTTCCTATTTCCACGGCCACGACAGTTCGGCCATCGTTTGTGGCTGCTAGAATTAGTCGCATGCGCTTCAAGCATAACGTTCAAGCTAGTGGGTCGAGCTTGATGATTCTTCATCAAAAGCTGGTTCTGCTTTTTAGTTAGAAATAAAACAGAGATCAAATTTGAAAATTTGTGTATGCTTTATATTATTGATGCAGGACAATATTGGTGGCATTACAGGTCGAATAGGTCTTCTCTAGGAGATCCCATTCAGTCAAGTCCTCGTTACAAAACTTAAGTAGCGATCAGATTCTACAAACTTCAAAGTTGTATTCATTCATGGACTTTAAGTCTTTTTTTTTTTTTTTTTTAATTTTTTTTAACAAACAATATTATATACACTAAGGGGAGAAGGTAGGCTAAGCCTCATAATGGGCTAGCAATAATATGGTTCAAATTCACAAACTTACAGTCTTAGAAGCGTAAATGCTACCAATTATGTCTTGCTTTAGGTAAGTATATGTCTTTTTGGTGATCGAAGTGATCGGCCAGGGCAAGCCAGAGGGCACGTAGATCCTCTTCGGCAAGGTACCCAGTTTGCAGCACATCATGAATGTGTCTTCGGATGAAGATCATCGCGGTAGCGTTTTGAGCTTCGTCAACTGGGACATCTGTAGCTTCTTCAATGGCAGCTTGTAGACTTGTACCGATGAAATGGAGTTTCACGTCTTGGACCCACTTCAGGTAGTTTTTTTCTGGATACTTCCAAAGTGGTGAAATCGAGCTTGTTCAAGTTTAATATGTCCCTAAAACAGAGGGTACAAAAAGAATGTGGTTAGTCATATGGAAAGCCATAGACATACAGTTTAGAACAATTGAGTTTTATAGACACGTATATATTCAGTTTAAACATGAAAGCCTTGGGTTTCATGGTGTAAGTTTTGAATGAAAACTTCGGGTTTCAAAGGCATTAAATTCAAAACTATAAGTTCGATTTAGTTATGAACTTTCAATTCATAAAAGGGGGTACCTGCAAGAACACATAATACAATATACAACTAAGTGTAGTAAATTTGGGGTTTGCTTCAGGAACCCAAGTGTGAGTGCATCATGACTACAAAAGATAGTCAACAGTTTAAAGAAAAGAAAATTAATTTAATCGTTAATTGCCAAAAAGTGGGTTTCAGGCTAATAATTTTGAATGTCTTGTCAAATTAATGGACTGCTGATCACTTTAATTAATTCAATAGAACATAACCATCCAGGTTTGATTGTAGGAGCAAAATAATGACATTCAGGTCATATAAGCTTAAATGTGGCTTCGAGCCAAGCGACAATAAAATTATAGCTTGATAAACGTTAACCAATAACGTCCCAATAATTATATGGGTATGGTTATGAAGTGGAGATGCCAAAATATGGCATCGGGTCAAAAAAGGACACAGCCCAGCTTGGCATAACAGCCCAAATCTGATTGCAGGCCAGTGGGCTGTGTCAGGGATGAAGCCCAGCAGTGCAAGGTTGCGAGCAGTGGGTTTGGGTGCGAAAACCCAGCCGAAGACTGGCTTCTGGTCACGGGCCGAGGCAGTGGCGAACCCAACATTGCAAAAGCTGCTGCAAGCAGGCCGTATGCGCAGGAGGTATCAAGCCTAGCGTTAGCTGGCTTGGGCTAATGTGCGACAAAGCTATGTGGGCCACGACATGGCAAGGTTTGCAGTAAAGGGAGCTGTTGTAGGCAGGCCAAGACGCAGGGACAAGCTCAGCAAGCAGTAGGCTTGCTGGTTTGGGCCAAAGGCGCTAGAGATAGGCCGAGCAAAGGCTGCAGGCCAGTGGAATTGGCCTGGAGTCTATAGGCCCATGGAAAACCCTAAGCTAGACCGAAGGCCTGGCTGTCCATTGCACGCAGCAAGCCCAGAGGGCTGCTACAGGTGACCGAGACGTTGGAACGACGTCTTCCAGGCACGGTGTGGCTGCAAGCCAGCCGACGTTCGTCGGTGCCAGTGGTGGCGTGGCTTAAAGCTGCGTCTGGGCCACAAAATTTCCAAATATTTTTTTTTCAACATCTAAGGTTAAGAACCCTTATTTTGATGCTTTGACTCACAAATTCCATATAGTATAATCTTGTATTACATGCACGTATATATATTGACAAATATAGGAATATATACAATATATATCGGAAGAAAAATATAAATATAGTTCATGAACATGTGAAATGTTTTCATACTTCATGGTCATTTCAAGTATCTTAATTTATTTTAAAAGAATATGATTGACAGAAAACAACCTGAGCATTTGAATTTATAGAAGAGCCTCCTCCATGAACCTTCATTTTCTGAGCTTCTGGCAAGAGTGTGTTGATATCGTGTTGGAGGTGTAATTTACTGAGCAGTATACAGGACAGAGAGAGGGGGTGTGGCAGAGAGAGAGATGTGTATTTTTGAGGCGTGTGTTATGTCACCATATTGTGCCTTTATTTGTAGCAGTAGGGAAGGTAAATTTCATACCCGAATAGGATTACAACTCTAATACCACGATATTTAGTCTAAGAGATATGGTAGAATCCTATAAGAATATCCTAGATATGTTATAATTTACACAATCACATTCCTAATCTAATAAGACTGCAACAAATCCTTCAATTGTTTGATTTGACCAATCCATTGACCTTGATTTGGTCCAAAGAAAGACTTTTCAGCCAAAATGGTCTCTGAAATTGGTATCATTCCTCACTTTAGTTTGTGAGATGTAAAATCGATTGAAATGGTCCCTCAGATTGTCCATCGTCAATCATTTTGTCATTTCATGAAAAATCTCCGTTAAATTGAAGTGTATTTTTGTCAAATCAATTCATCCACTTGAATTGGTGGTTTCTCAATTTAACAGAGATTTTCCCAAAAGAACCAAAATGATTGACGGTGGACAATCTTAGGAAAAACTTCTATCTACTTTCAATCTCAAAGAGCAAAAAATTATGTTAATTTCAGAGACCATTTTGGCCAAAAAAACCGGCAAAGAAATAATGTATATTAACCAAAGAAATGCTTGTATGGAATGAGCCCATGGTTACCATGGCATTCGGCCAAGTGATTCTGTTGGGAAACTTGTGCACCTTATGGGGCCCTTCTGTCGTGAAAATCCAATGGCATAAAGTCCCTTTTTTGTTGAATGTTTTTGCATTAGCAAATAACTGAAACACATTTTCCTTGTTTACATCACAAGATGATTCTTGAAATTTGTCTTTATAAAATATCTAAGTATATAAGATACATCAGAGTATATCACATAAATTTTAAAAAATGCATGGTATGTACGGCATGTTCCATGTTATGTGGTGCTAGGACGAAGCCACATAACATGGAACAGTGCCACATGTTATGCAACGGCTGCAACAAAACCAAATATTCCGAAATCACGCAGAGATGAAAGTGCAAACACAACAACACAGCAAAAATCTTCTCCATGTGCTCCTTTGCGTGCACAATGGTCAGCATCCACCAAAATCCAGGACACCGCATCCACAAAAAGACGCAGATGACGGAGGCTCCATGGTACCGAGTCAAAATTATTGTTATTATTATTGCTTCTTTGAAGAATATCTATATCATACCTACCAATTATCATCTCCAACTACAAAGCTGTGATCTGTCATCCTCTTAAACAATCCAACTGTCCAATGTCACATTACCAACTCAAAACTCTGTTGGTGCATCTGCTTCTCCAAATGTCCAAATCTTTCTTTGTTTCCATCATCACCATATATATTCCTTAGTCCAAGGATATATATATATATATATATATATATATATATATTGAAGAGTAAGAGAATAGATTGGTATTGAACTCTTTATCTATAATGTTCGAACTTAAAAGCTCTTACTTACAAATGAAGAACAATGCTACTATACATATAACTAATAGCATAATTTTAATTATTGCTAGCTTAACTATCATTTGAGTCCCTGAATTTTGCTCAAATTTTTGTTTTAGTTCCGTTGACCTTAAAGGTTTTCTGATCACAAACAACAATTTTTCTTTCATGCTACAGATCATATCAACAATTTAGATCTTGCATATAGACAGATCTTATAAATTTTACTAATAGTTAAATTTAAAATAAAACCTGTATCTTGAATGAAATGTAGCATTGTGACCAAACCCCACAAACAAACCTAAAACACGAATCACGAAACGGAATTAAAAATTCAAACAAAAGGATGCAAAGCTATTAAAACCAATATTTAGTTTCCACGATATAAGACATCAGCATTCAAAACATTAAAATACATAATGTTCTCTATCAAATTCTTACACTTGGCAAAAGACGTGCCACAAAACCGTTGCCTGCAGTGTCCACGCCAAAACAGCTATACGTGTAAACCGACTTGAAACGCTCAACGATCAAATAATCATATCCCAAATTTATTGGAAACAAATTCGAAATCAAAGAGTTGCTCTCTTTACACGCTTTGGTCTTATATATATTCACTCGCAAGTCACAACCAAGTGTTTCGTTCTTACACTTTTTTTTTTTATAAACCTCTCTCTCTCTCTCTCTCCCCCTAAAACACCAAAAACCCACCGAACTTGGCCAAAAAAACAGATTGAAGTGAGAGATGGAGAATGTTGGGATAAGAGTGGAAGGAGCTTCAGGTTCTGGTTCTTTCTTCACACCCCTTTTGATTTCCATGGCAGGCATTGTCTTCACAACCCTAGCAATAGTTGCGTACCATTTCCTAGTTAAGTATTGCCTACGGAGGAGGCAACGGCAGATGCAACTGCAAATCCAAGCCAGCCTCGCGCAACAATCAGGCACCAATCAATCCAATGGGGTTGATGAGAAAGTCCTGAATTCCATCCCAATTCTCTCGTACTCGAAGAACGATGGTGAACTTTTTCGCGTGGATCAAAGCGAGTGCGTGATTTGCTTGGGAGACTTAGAAGACGGGGATTTGGTGCGTTTGTTGCCGAGTTGCAAGCACGTGTTTCATAATCCATGCATAGAAAAGTGGTTTCGGGGGCATACAAACTGTCCGGTTTGTAGGTCAGCCATAGATGTGCCTATTGCTTCTGTGGCATCAACGTTGCCTGTGGAATATGATCTTGTTGGTCAAGTTAGAGACCGAGAACTCGAAGAAGCCGGCCCAGTATATCAACCCAATTGCTCATCGCAGCCTCATGATCCAGAGGAGGGTTTGGCAATTACAGCTGCTAGTACTACTATATCAACCCAATTGTCAAAACCAAATGGTTTGCTTAGGCATTGTGTGTCACTGGTGGTATTGCCTATGGAGGATAGTAGTAAGCAGCAGATTTTGTTGAAGGGGTTGGAGAGGTCTTTGTCTTTGGATCATTCCCACGTTCTTATCAATATATACACAGAGAGTGATGACAAGCCCTCTTCATCATCTTCTACTTCTTCTGATTGTGCTTCTTCGAAGCCGGTTCTTACGCAGTGTAGATCGTTGAAGGCGCGGTCGATGAGGAAGCTTGATCGAATGTCTTCAGTTTTAGTAAAATCTATTTCTCAACTGCGGATGAGCCAGAGTTTCAGCACGGCCAATGGCCATGGAAATCTTCCTTGTTAGAATTATTTCTATTTGTTTTATATTTTCAGTGAAGGCGAGGGTCATCTCTTACCGTTATAAACTCCCCATGTGGTTATTTTTTCATTACTAGGAATTTTTTTCACTGACAATATTGTTATCCTTTGGGAAAAATAATTAGATTCTTTTTTTCCTTACACAAACCATTTTCCGTAAATCTTTTTATTTTTTATTTTTTATATAATGATATTCTGTTCTTGGTGGATGATTAGACTAAGACACCCATTAACGGGCAGTCATCATAGTTGTGTATCAAATTCTTTATATAGTTGAGTCAAACATGAAATCTTTCATTTACAGATGAAAAAGATAATTATTAGACGTTATTACTAGTAACTTTATTTGTACCACTTTAACGGCATATTTATGTGACATGACAGTTAGTGTGTAATTATTATGGTAATTATAAGATTGGCCATTATTAAACTATATTTGACACATCCTATGGGAAGAAACTATGATCCCTTTAAGGCTATTACATAGAAAGAACTAGTCTAATTTTGTAACATTAAAGGAATCTAACCTTGCACTCATTTTAATTCTTGGTCATCAAATTACACTCATAAAAAATTCATTTTAAAGAAATGGTTAGAAGCGACCCCAAGGGGTTGGTCCAGTGAAAATCAAGTGAAGAGTTGGAGTCTCTAATCTGGGTTTGAACTCTTACTAATGCATTTCATGAGCCCCCTGGCTCTACTTTGACGTATCGTTTGACTCCAAAGGTCAAAAATACGTTATTGCCTCATACGGTACCTGAGCTGCATAGAAAGCGAAATTTGTCTGTCACAAATGTGTGGTGTTAGCACTCAAAATTTGAAGGTTAACAAATGAAAACGATAAACCCTCGATCGGCTTGAATTATGGTCTGAAATGAAATAGGCTCAAAGATTTAAGTGGTTCACCCCTAGGTTACATCCACTGTTTTGCTCTAAGATTAAAAATAGACTTTAATACATGAACTTTCTTTCTTTTCAGTCGTTTGGCCATAATACAAAAGGTTCCCACTCCTTTATATAGGCTCTGAAAGAACCCCCAGCCTTGGATTTTAATTTGCCAACTAGCGTAGAATAACACGCATATGGAACAAAATTTTGATTTGTTAAATATTACTAATTTTACAATATGAAATATGAAAAAATAACAACTAATCTTCAATCTTTCCTTACATCAGTGTTTTTTATTTTTATTTTTTTTATTTTTAATATTAATCATTGATGGTTTAATCCAATATGGATTTATCTCTCTCTTTTTCTTAATGATGATAAAAACATACTGACACATTTTCACTTATCAACCAGGCATTCGATAATGAAGTGACATGAGTTCAGTCAAAATTGCGCACATTTCCATAATGATGTGGATCGAGCATCCCACTTGACCTTGGTTATCCAACCTCCGTCTCTCTAAGTGCCGTTCTAACCATCTTTATGTCTCATCCTGGGTCTCTACTATAGAATACGAGTTGCCATGTGGCCTGATTGATGTGTGGGTAGATCCATCCTTGGAGACTTGTGTCATAAAGTTGTCAGCCTACCACATGTCCTTAACGGTTGTAAAGCTCTTCACTTATCCTGGTCGGGCTGAGCTTATTGGCAGTCGACTTTGTGCATGGATATCTCTTCTAAGCCCCTTAGGCCTTGGGCTTCCAAATCTTCCTTGGGTTTTTCGCGGTTTTTTTTTTCCCAACATGCACCATTATGTGGGCCTAAAAGTACACATTATTAACAAGTCCTCCAACTCCTTGGTTAAAGGTTCATTCTTGGGTATGGAGTTGCAATGATCGGTTGGTACATTAAATGATGCATGACCGGAGAAAGCGTTTCAGGTGTGCTTAGCTCATGGTTTTGTCATTTGCAACTATGTATTATTTATGCTTCATTTGGTATCACGGTCGATAAACCTTTGGGTGTCTGATGCACATCTTACTGATAGAATGATGGAGTAATCAAGGTGCCGGTGTATTAAACGTATGGCAGACAAACATGCCTCGTGCACTTGATGTCGCTTCACGTCTCGTTAGCTTAGAGAAAAATCAATGGGATGCCAAGTGTCGTGATCTTGTCACTCAATCGCCCCTCCATTGACGGCTGAGATTACATGCTCCGGGCTATATAAACCTCCCCTATCATAACCCCTTTCTCTCATTTCATGCTCTCAATACTGAAATTTTTCCATTTTCCCTCCCCGATTCTTCAACGACTTGAAAATTACATATGCAAAACTTTCTCTCTCACCGTCATTTCTTCAGGTAATTTTCCTCTTCCTACACTCTTGTAATTCGTAGATTTGCTGAGACTATGGTACTATATTTATAGATTCTCGATCATCGCCAGCAAACGCATATGCGGGGAAAATCTGCTTAAACTAATCATAAGCCGCTCCGTGAGAATGGTTCAAAATAGCTTGCACTTGGAGTGTCATTATTCCCTCGGCCCTCAACAACGTAAATGAACCTATCTAGGTGGTTATACAGATATGTGAGACTTTCATAGCTTTGCATTTTGAGTGGTCAGGTATCTTCACTAGTCGGTTCATCAAGCAGCTCCTTGAAGAATGACATGGGAACATCTTTCTTGACGTAGTCGGGGTTCGTGAGCTTAGATGCTCACTTTATGTCTCCTAATCGATCTCGTGCTTTTCATTTCCTCACCCATGACTTCCATCAGGGTGCTTTTTAAGCCCGATTGCCCTTCATCGCTTGTTTGATGGCCCCGAGCACAATCTCCTCTGCTCCGAGCATCTTGTTAATGACCTCGTGGGCATCCTCGCCTTTTATCCCCATGTCGTCCAAGGGAGAAGGATGATGAAGATTAGCCCCCCTTACGGGACGTGCTGTTGATTTTCTCAATAATTTGGTTGATCTGTTCTAGGAGGTTGCATGCCTCTCCTGTAGCAGGGTATTTTGGGCATGGATGAGGTTTCCTACCTCATTCATCTCTCTGACGCAGACAAGTATGCCATTCATATTCTCATGTAAGTTGACGAGCATGGCCTTATCTTCTTGTCTCCTTCTTCGGATGGTCGTCTCGGGTCTGCCCAAAAAGGCTTTATCTTTCAGTATTCTGCTATTCATCTCGCTTATTTAAGCACAAACATGGAAATATCCTAAGACATTTAAGTAGAAAACGCAACCAAATTGTGTGCGTGTCCCACAAACGCCACCAAACTGTTGACGCTCAAAATTTATAAGTTAACGAATTAAAACAATAAACCCTTAGGGGGCTTAGAATATGGACTGAAATATATGGGCTTAAAGATTTAAGTGGTTTACCCCTTAAGACTGGGCTATATCCACTATGTTACTCGAATTATATTGATTTCAAAATTAAAAATAGTGCTTGGCTAATACATGAACTTTCTCTTGTTTCAGTCGTTCGACCCTAATACAAGAGGTTCCCACTCCCTTATATAAGGCCTCAATAAAGCCCCCAGCCTTAGGTCTTCCCAACTTGGCATTTAATGCGCCACGTACATAAACTAGTATGCAGACACCTTTTCACCTATCAACCAAACATTCATTAATGAAATGACATGCGTTCAGTCAAAATGGTGCGCATTTCCAGAATGATGCGGGCCGATCATCCTACTCGACCTTGGTTATCCAACCTTGTCTCTCTAAGTGCTATTCCGACCAACTTTACATCATATCCTAGGTCTCTGCTTCAGATTGCAAGTCGCCATGTGGCTTGAATGACTTGTGCCATAAAGCTGTTAATCTGCCCACGTGCCCTTGGCGGTTGGAAAATTCTTCGCATATACTGGTCAAGCTGAATTTATGGGCGGTAGGCTTTGGTGCTCAAGAGTTTCATCTTTTAATCCCCTTAGGCCTTGAGCTTCTCGATCTTCCTTTGACTTTTCGTGGTTTCTTTCCCTGTTTGTGTAGATAGTATCGTTTGTTCAAAAAAAAAAATGCCATCATTAATAGGTAGGGATACCTCCTATATTAAAGAAAAATAAATAAATGACTATGTTAAATGCTAGTTTTATTGTTTGGCTTCCCTTGTCAAATCTTGTATTTGGTACCACACATGCTTATAATTTAGAGTTAGGGTTCAATGCTGATTTGGGATTTTTGCTGGAATTAAATCGTCAAAGCACCAACCATCTTCACTACAAAAGGTTTGAATCATACATTTGTATATGCATGTTAAGCTTATTATTTTTCTTGAATCCTTTTGTCTAGTGTAGTTGTCTAGTCAGACTTTTCATCTATTTTCCAGCTGTTTAGGCATGCAAAATAAGATAGCCCACATGGGCCATCTAACACATTTTTCTATGCGTGGATCTCTCACCCTTGATTTGGGAAGGTCTCTTTGACTCGTGACATGTGTCTCTTTGTTCCCCTTGTTTGAAACATTCATCTCCTCGATTATAAGGGTTTTCAAGGTTTCATTTGTTCATTGGTTAGGATTTTCACATTTTCAAGAAAAGAGTGCATTTAGCCTAGAGCTAACTCTTAAGCTTCTAAACCAAAACCCTATCCACAAACCATCTTATGCATAAATATCCAATCATTTCATATTAGGGTTGCATTGTTTTAATGGCTTTGCATTGAGTTTTTGGTCTAAATCTAAGTTTTTCGTATCTTTCATAGACCAATCTCTCGGATTTATGTTAGGTTCTTCTTCAACTATTTGACTAAAGAACCTGATTGGTTAGTTGAATCCAAATCTCTTATGCATATCATAAAATCATATCACATCATTGATCGTGTTGATCTCGGTGCCACAAGGTGATGAGCTCAGGAGGAGTTGCCACTTCGTGAAGATCAAATGAGTCTGTCTCATGTAAGACAAGGTTGCACAAAGGTAAAGTTGCTCCTTAGATAGGGTTCTAGGAATTGAGCTTTGTGTGGATCTTTGTATGAACCTTTGTTTACACTAGTAGATTGGACTCGGCGGAGAGTCCCCAGTTTTTTAACCCAGATATAAGTTTTTCCAGCCAAAAACTTCCTTGTGTTCAATACTTTACAAAGCCTTATTTATAACCTTGTTGGAACTAAACATTGTAAGGTTTGCTAGTATTGACACTTTATTAATCAAGAAAACTTAACTCATGTACTAAGACTAAAACTTAACTGAAGTTCACATTGTTAAGTTTTAACCTTTTAAGTTTGTTTGATTTTTATGCTTGTGGGATTCCAACAATCTGTACTCAGTTGACTAATACGATGGCTAGTCAGAATAGTGGTTTTTAAGTTTTTATTGTAGGGTATTCTACCTGGTACCAATTTTAATTGGTATCAGAGCCTTGATCTAGACATACATCGAGTAATCTCTGGGATTTTACTGGTATTGAGTGGTCTCACATCATGGATCGTGATCATGTTGCTAGATCGTGTAACTCTCCTCCATTCTTTGATGGTGTGAACTATGCAGCATGGAGTGAGAAGTTTCAAATATTCCTTGAGGCACTAGATTTCCTTGATGTTGATTATCTTATTCTTGAGTGGAGGGCTCCCTCTAGAGTTGTTGATGGGGAGTTGGTGATCAAACCTAAAA